TTGGACTTGATGAGCTTGTAGGTCCTTTCCAACCTTAATGATACAATTCAGTCACTTTGTGACACTCTTTGCATCACAGGTTTCCATTGCAGGACATTGGAAACCTCAGTCATGAAGCTCCCTAGTATTGCATCCAAATACTACTAAAATTGATGCCATCAAAACACCTTGTTTTATCCTTCCCTGCTATCAAAAAACAACAAAGAGAAGCTGGGCAAGATGACTTTTGATGAGAACAATAGAAATTAAGTTGCTCAAGCCCTGTAACCTTCTGGAAGTTACTTGGTGTGTTACTGATGGAACCATACCACAAAGTAGAGTTTATTTTTTTTATTCTGGGACTTGGAAGATGCTGAGTCCTGTCTGCTTTCCCTTCCTGTTGGGAGAATGGGAATAAGATGGTGGGAATTGTGGTTTTCAGTGGAAAAATTTTTGCAAAATGTAGGGTTCTTATTTATGTCTCAGAACATAAATGGCTTTCCTTCTGCCAGCTTCCTGCTTTCTAGTGATGTCCAAGAGAAGTATTTTTTTGGGGGGTTTCACACCTTTTTTTTCCCCTATGAAGGAAATCTGTCAGCAGTGGATATCGTTGAGTTTTGGATATTTGTTGCTGTGTGTTTTTTAACCTGAACCCTGTTTAGAAAATAGTCTTGGATCTAAAGCTCTGGAACTTCAGGAGTCTGCTTAGGGAAGGAATTGTTTGCTTTTATTCCCAAGTGAATTCTGCATGGTACTGATGGGCATTTGCAGCAACTTTGTATTTAGGGAGTTGAGCTGGAGGAAGCATATTCCAAAATTATTGTGGCATAGCTGTAGTTCAGTAGTGATTTGAGTGGAATGACAAGTCTGATATTTAAACCAGCCTGGCTTGTATTACTTTCCAGTCAGTAAAAAATTTATTTCAGTCTGATGTGTAGTAGGTGGCTAAGGAGAGCAGCACCTGATGGTGTGGAATTTTAGACTTCAGAAATACTCATTGTAACACAGACTGCAATGACACAGTATTCACAGTATTCTGTGAATAATCAAGCTGGGTGGTTCAGAGTGTTTTTCTCCCTCTTGGAATATTGTTTATCTTCTTGCTGCCTGTGGGATGCCTTCCTAAGTTCTGTTAGTCTTGCACAAGGAAACTGAAAACTTTGACTGCCCAGACTGCCATGAGCTGCTGATGCTTTCCAAGAGTTTCATTCCTTTGGCTGTTACACAGTAAAGCAGAAAGGACAAAACATCTTTTACTCTATTTGTAATTTCCAGCTAGCAGGGAGAAATTTCCAAAACTCCATGTGAAATCCTCAAAAGAACTAATTCTGTGAAGGTGTCAGATTTTTAAAATAAAAAGCATGCTACAAGCAGACATCTAAATAATGTAATTCAGGTTGAGCTGGGTTAGTCGTGGAAAGTTTGAATTACAAAAGTTCTAGATGTGAATTTAAAAATGCTTAAATTCTTGATTCAAGCTGCAATTTAATGGTTTCTCTCCATAGTACTACAGAAGTGTACAAATAACTTCTGTTGCTCGTGACTGATGCATATGTGTGTATATATATTTAAAAAATACAAGAAAGAGCTCCTAAAATTTAGAACTTGTTTAAGGGTCATTTTTGGCACTGGGATTTTAAGGAATTTCAAATTTCTTACGATTTTTTGTTATTGCCAGCCAGGTTCATTGCCTGGTCTGATGCATGGTTGTGGTGGTGCTGCCACATCTCCAGCCTTCTCTGCAGCCATGGCACCATGTGGGGCTCCAAAAGCAAACTTGTGGCCAGGAGCAGGCTGTTCCTGTGGGATCAGTCCTGCTGTTTCTGTTCCCCCTGCCCTTTGGAAGAACAAGGGCCAGGAGCAAGGCCTGTCAGTGCACCTTTAGGGAGGCTCTGGGGTTCAGTTCTGAGCCTGCACAGGGAATTGTGAGTTTCTAATCTGAGCCTGGATTTTGTGCTCTCATTCAGTACAACTTAGCTTCCCCAAAGGCTTGCACATACAATAAGTGCATTGTCAGGGGGAGGAAGGTCAGCTGCCTGCAGTCCCTCCCTACTGAAAGAGCTGACTGGAAAGGTTGGCAGCTTTTGGTCTCACAGCATTGATGCCTTAGGGACCTTCTGCAGACACAGTATCCACTACTTACATTTAAAATTTAATGGGCAGGCTGAAAAGTGAAAGACCTCCCTTTACCTTGTGTTCTCCACTTCTAACTCAGAAGTGATCTAGGCATAGTTTTGTTTTTCATGTTCTATTAATGACCTGAATTGAAGATGAATTGTAGCAGGACCAGACATAATCAATAATTAGTGAGGCTTGGTCTGCAGAGGTGTAAATGCAAGGATGAAAGCCAAGTCAGTTCTGCAACCTGCTCTAGTGAAAAGTGTCCCTGCCCACAGCAGGGAATTGGAATGAGAGGATCTCTAAGACCCCTTCCAACACAAACCATTCTATGATTCTATGTTGCAACATGTGCTGTATTTAACAGATCATCATCTTACAAGGTAGGAAAAAATGTCAGCCTTGATTGGGAAGTTGTGTGTTTAAAGGTTCATGATAGCATCTGGGTATTACCTTGTACAACTCATTTTCTCTGCATTTATTTTAAGACAAGTTTCATGAAGGAAGATGGCTTGTTTGAATACTTAAATTGCAATTTTAAGGGTGTCTCATTTGAAGGCACCAACTGAAAGCCAATTCTGAAAGGTGGTTCGGTTCTGTAAGACCATGTGAACTGTCATGAGTAGAGGTTGTTCTTATATGGTTCTTGTGTTTTAAGAATGAAACTTTGTTTTGTTGTGATTCATTCTTAGTGCTGTGCTCGTCCTTAATGCTGAGACCTGCAGTGCAATCATGAACTGTTGCTACTTCTATAACATTTTCATACTTGAACATTGCTAAATATTCTCTTTGTGCATTAATGCTGAAGCTGTAAGCAAAATACACTGCTTCTCTCTAAAGTAATACCAAGTATCTTTAATTTTCCAAAAACTAATGAGTGACATGACCTTTTGCAGAGAGAAAGCTGTTCTCCCACTAGGCATGCTGCATCAATTTTATATTGGTCAATAATGCCTCAAAATGTAGAACAAGTTGTTTGCAAGGTCTTGTAATATGCAAAAGTGTGCTGTTAATACTGGGAGATACACTGCCAAGGACTTTGAACATCAGTTGTGCATAAATGTTTTATGAGCATGAAGATTTTAAATAAATTTAGATTGTGCTGAGTGCTGCTTTTTAAGTGAAGCTATTTCACACCTCCCTGTTGTTTGGACTTTTGATGGTAGGTTTCATCACCACTTGGAGTTTGGCTGAAACAGTAATGAATTAAGTGATTTTTGGCTTTTTGTTTTTTCAGAGTTCATTTTCAGTTCCTTACTGAAGTAGGCATAGAGGAGGAAACACATAGTGTTGGGTTTTGGGTTTTTTTTGGCAGCTTGAAGGCAAACTTGTGAGGCTGAATTTGTAGACCCAATTCTATAGTGATGCATTTGGCTGCTGTGATAGAGTAACATTTCTCAAAGATATAAGGAGTAAGGCAGCAAAGAATCAAGAAAATGTTTCTCTTAAGGATTATTAATGTAAGACAAGACTGACAACATGAGTACTGTAGTGGGACTCAAAGCAACCTCAGAGCAAGGCCATAAATTGTTTCCCATAACTAAGTTGTTACAAAGTACATTGTACAACATTGTAATTGACATTGGTCCATATCAGCCTTTTGGATATGCTGGTCTCTCTAGATCAGAGTTAATTTTAGTCAGCTGTAATTACCTCTGAAAGTAATGAGAAACTACTCAGTGTGAACAAACTTCAGCTTTTGTGTCTGTAGCTCAAATCGTGGAGCCATGGAGAGTTTAAGTGACTATCCAGACCAGAGAGAATGTGTTTCAAGGGTCCTTAACTTTCTAAGTGAATAGGATGATTTATCAAATAACTGATCATTGGGACGTGGGATTGATTTGATTGATTTGCATGTGTAAAGATTTATAGAACTGTGGTGTGATTACTATACCAATGTGCCTGAGAAATGATCAGAATGTGTGGATTAACCATAACTATGTCCTTGGTATTGAATTATTGGTACAGATATTAGAATTCATATTCCAGAGCTGTATATAGATTATTGAAGCGTAAGTAAAGATGCTTCACAACTTCCCTGTGAGGATGCTGAGGCCCTGGCACAGGTTGCCCAGAGAAGCTGTGGCTGCCCCATCCCTGGAAGTGTCCTAGGCCAGGTTGGATGGGATTTGGAGCAACCTGGGACAGTGGGAGGTGGAACTGGAGGATCTTTGAGGGCCCTTCCAACCCAGGCCATTCTATGAATCTGTGATAATACATACTTACAACCTAATTGTGAGGTGCTGCTCTATATAAATACACACTCTGTATATGGTACTTTCCTAGCCTGAGGTGGGGCAAGGTGTGCTCTTGGAGATGGAGGTGAGGGCAGCACACACTTCATTGCCTTCCTTCCACACCAACAATGGAATTTCACCTGTGAGTGACCTGCAGGATGCCCTGAGCCCAGTTGAGGGGCAGCAGGTGTCAGCTCCTGCTGGCACCAGAGCAGGTCCCTCAGGTGGGTGTGTCAGTGCTGCTCAGAATCCCTGAGAGGAGCAGGATCAGTCCTGCAGCCAGGATTCACGGTTCATGGCAGGTGGGCAGCAAAATGTGCTGATGGAACCCCCCTCTCATGGCCAGGGAGGGACACAGGCTGCACCTCAGCAGTGAGTCTGAACTTCATCCTGATTTGTATCTTGTGTGTCTTTTCAGGGTGTTGATGATGCCTTCTACACATTAGTTCGAGAAATCAGAAAACACAAAGAGAAGATGAGCAAAGATGGCAAAAAGAAGAAAAAGAAGACAAAGACAAAGTGTATAATTATGTAAATACAATTTATCCTTATTCTTAAAAAGTACTGAAGTAATTTTGTACATTACACTAAATTATTAGCATTTGTTTTAGCATTACTTTACTTTCTGCTTCATGATCCTGTTAGCTTTACCTGAATGCTTGTTTTAAATGACAGTGGAAACTTCATTCCTCTTAAAGTGCCAGTATTCTTTGACTGTTGGTTCTTGAACTAGCAATGCCTGTGAAAATAAAAAAAAAAAAAAAAACAACAAAAACCCAAAACAAACAAAAAAATACCCACAAAAAAACCTGAGAACTGTCTTAGGACTCTTTGGTGCATGCACAGTTGCTAACTTCCTATTTTTCTTACTGATTGTGAACTTCTGTTCTGTGTGCAAAGCAAACAAATGATGCTCTACACATTTTAACATCCCCTCTGAATTTTTGGGTTTATAAATTTGGTTGGGAAAAAGGACTAGTTAGCAAAAGAAACTTTCATTTCAGCCTTTCCTTTATTTTAGACTGATTGCAATAGAGAGAGACCAGAAGCCTTTATAGTCTTCCTGTAGATTTTGCTTCTAGGCATCTAGTCTTGTAGCATTTCAGATCAACTTTAATGAATGTAAAGAGAAAACTTTCAAAAAAAAATTTCACTGCAATTTGTCACGGTCACTCCTTAAATACTCTATTTTTTCTATAAAAATTAAAAAAAAAAAGAAAAAAAATCTAAAAATACAACAGTGCACACCTGGCAATGGAAAAAGTAAAAGTTCTAATTAGGTTGATTTGCTATTGTTAATGCATTGCTTTAAGAGCTTCACTGACTTTTTGTGTCTGAAGAACAAGGTGAAATCCCCCTGTGTCACAGCTTTGAGTAGCTTTGTTCAGTAGGGTCAGGATTTCATCCTGAGTGTCCCTAGGAAATACTAGAATGCCTTAACAGAGAAGTTGATTCAAATTCTTAGGTTAATTCATACATGGGCCCAGAATTTGCATAATAATTAAATCAAAATCAGTCCTAAATTACATGGTGGAGTAAAACCATTCTCTCCCCCCCTTCCCCAAGAGTGGCATTAAATATTTCCAGATGCCCATTTTGTGCAAAATAGGGGAGAAATTCTAAATTCCAGCAACATCAGATGAATGAATGAAAGAGATGAATTTAGCTGCTTCATGCAAATAATTGGGAAATCCACTATGCCATGGAAATGGTGTGGAATTTGCACAATCTGTCAGCATAGAACATGATTTCCAGAGTCAGTGTTGTTTGTGTGATGTCTGTGAAGTATTGATTCAATGGTTGGTGAGTGGCATTCCAGTGTCTAGACTGTCATGAAGCTACACCAAGAGTTTAATGTTGTCTTTCTCTGTGATTATTTTTCTCTTGTGATTTTTGTTCTTCTCTCCCCCCACTTTTTTTTTTTTTTTTTTAATTGGAATTAATGCAGGATTTTTGCAGGAGCTTTCACTTTTTGGTAGTGCAGTAGCCTAGTTATCCACTGAAGTGCAAGCCAGTAGTTGCAGTGTTTGCAGTTCCTGGTGTCTCCCTGTAAATGTGGAGTTGTTTCAGGACAGCTTTGGTCCCTGAAGGTGCACTTCTCCACAGGAGCTGACTCAGCTGCAGAGTGACACTGGAAGGTGTGACTCTGGTGTGCCCACAAAATGAACCACAAGACATTGAGGTAGGATAGTTCAGGACACTGGAGATTTTGGAACAGGGAATAGCAGCATTGCCATAAGCTGAGGTATTCCATGGAAATTTTACACATGTATGTAAAAATTGGACTGTGTAACTTGGACCATTTCTGTGAAAAGTATTATTTTGCTTCTACAGAAAAATCTCAGAGTGACTGTTGTAGGTGGGGACCTGCAAAGCTGGCAGGGAACAGAGAGTGTCTGGATTGTTCCATACTCTTTAATTCCATTGTGTCTGGGAGAAATCAGGCCTTTTCCTGCCTGTGCCCCCTATTCCCACCCTTCACCTAAATCCAGACCCCTCCGCTCCTCTCAGCTCCCATGTGAAATCTAAGTTATGAAATATTCTGAAAAACAGTAACAGGAGAACTTAACTTTATACTGTAAGGACCAATAAGGAGCAAGAACAGATTCTTAATGTCACAAAATATTTCAGAGCTTCCAAGGTTAAAATGTGTTGGAGACAGTTACTTGCACATTTTATACACTCTTGATAATAGATGAAGAACATAGCAAAAGTGGTTTGTAAGCCTTGAGCAAATGGAAGTAATCTTCAGGTTATTTTAATTTTGGTAACTGAGTCACACTGCATGTCAAATTAGGGCTGGTCTAAAATTCTGATGTTAATTTAACTTAAAGCTGTTAGGAGAATTTGTAGCTGTAATGTCTTATTCATGAAAAGTGGGTTTCTATAGCTCTACTCTAAAGCTCTATATGAACCAGTGCTGGGGTTTTTCAGCAAAAGTGAGCTGTAGCTGCCAGTCTAATTAAATTAGTACAAAATCCAGTTAGATTAGCCCTTGTTTACTTGAAAAAAACCCCAACCCCATCCTTGCCATTGTTGTGCAGTTTTGTCTTCCTGTTTGTTGAGATTTGGTGAAGTACGTTGGATTGCAACTTGCACAGGCTGCTCCATCCTCACTGCCCTGTCCTGCCCTGTTTGATGCTTCCACAGAACATCCCTGGGTGCTGTGTCCTGAGCAAGCCTGGGAGTCACTGCCCATGTCACCATGTCAAACTGCCTTGTGTCAGGGAGTAACACCTTCTTACAGTAGCTTTATGTAACTCTGCTAAATACCTGGGTCCGTGGTTGGCTCCAAAAGGAATTCTTCTGACCAGTTTCAGTGCCCTGAAATTTTTTGCTACTCTTTTGCTGTGTGGGCTTTGTTGCAGTAACAGGATAATGGGTAAATACTGACACACACAATCTTCTGCTCTTGTCTAGACTATAAAGCAATACAATTATTACCTTCAAAGACCATCAAACTGTAAAACAAATCATTGTGTCTCAAGTTTACATAAAGCTACATAGATGGTAAATCTTTCCTAACATTTCTTTATTCCACTGTCTTGTGTTTTCATGTTGAAAATACTTCTGCTTTTTCCTCTTGAGTGCCAACTTCTTACTAGAATGACTTCTTAATGTAATATGTTTACCTGGAATGTATTTTAACTATTTTTGTATAGTGTAAACTGAAACATGCACATTTTGTACATTGTGCTTTATTTGATGTGGAACATATGCAGTGTGATCCAGTTTTTCCATAATTTGGTTGTGTGACCTAGGAATGTTGGTCATGCCAGACATTAAGTTAAAAAAAGGAAAAAAAAAAGACCACTGTTTGTTTTAAAATTTTTAATGTTTTTAGGAGTATGTGCTGTGAGGTGATCTGGAATTTGTCATTTTTTTGTCAAACTGTACTGCTCCTATTTATTGTAATGTAATAAAAAATAGTTATTGTGAGTGTCTGTCCCAGTTTCCTTTTCCTCTGAAAGAATTTGGGGTAACAGAGCATCCCACGAGTTCCATGTGTTTGGCAGTTGTTCTCTGGTCCTTCTTGCACTTCTGCTGTCCCAGAGCTGCTGTCCTTGCCCCCTTGGTTGCCCTGTCTCTGAGGGGTGGCTGCTCAGAGCAGGTGGAAGTGCAGAGGAGCTCAGTTGATGTGGAAGGAGTTGTTCACATCCGTGTGGTGGCAGAAACTGGAGCCTGTGCATTTCATCACAAGGTACTGTACTCTGCCATCACTTTGTAAATGCTGCCCTAGAATTCTGTGAGGATGGTGCTGCATCCCTCCCTCCCTCCTCCTCCTCCTCAGGCCAGCTGAGATGTCAGAAATGCTCACTCAGCATTCCTGGGCTGAGCTCCCCTGGAGCTCTTCAGGAACAGTTCCCAGGAATTGGTGCTGTCTGAAGAGCTCCTGCTTTGTAACCAACAGCCCTGGAAACTTATTTGCCTGGCTGAAAAACACCCCCAGTGCAACAGCATTTTTGCTTTTGAAATTTCAAAGGAAGTCACTGAGCTGGACTGTGCTGACTAAACCCACCTCACTTGTGACCCCATAAAGAGTGGGCCTGAGTGAGGCCCTTGGAGCTCTGCTGGACTGCAGTGGGCAGGGACCAAGTCTCCCTCACAGCCAGTGAACTCCTGTTTGCTGTATTTGGAGAACCAGCACTGACAGCAGAGCATGGAATGATGTCCCCCTTCCTTGAGGCTCAACCCTTCAGCCACTGACAAAAGGCAAAGGTATCCAAGGTAAGTGCCTCAGTGAATTCCAGGGGAATTTTATACCTTCTACATACTCCTTCAGGACTGTTTGTGAGTGTAGATATGCTATAGAAAATGTACCATGGGTAGCATTCTCAGAGATTCTAAGTAACTCAGGCCTATGAGTGAATTGCTGTTGTGCTTATAGGAAATTCTGTATGAATCTTTAGTTAAATTGTTCTCAATTAAACTATGGACCAGGTGCTGCTAAGTTTAAGTGCTGTTAAACCTTCAGGCATAAACTACTGGTCAGATCTGGGGCTCAGTTCAGCAAGGGGGGGTCCACTCTGAACTTAGTGACTCAATGGGAACATCTCCTTTAATCATTTTACCCTTACCCTTTTCCATCCTTACCCTTTTTGTATCTCCAGCATGCTCAGAAATAAGTGTTGGTTGATTTTGGTTTTAATTGATTGATTGTAGATTTTAGTTTGCTTTTTCTCTGTGTGCTTTAACCACCTAGTAAATACTGGAGTGAACTTTGTTGAATGGACTTTGCCACGCTTTCATTTTTATATTAAACCTGGTTTTGCTGATGCCTTTGCTGGCAATTCTTTGAGTGACCTTAAAACACTCCTTAGTGCCAGTATGAAAACTTGCCAACAGCTCTACTGCAGTGATTCCTTACCTGTTTTTAAAGATTATTTCTCCCTCCAGTGTCATTTAGTTGGTGGAAACACCAACCAACCCAACAGAGTGTCAGCTCTGACACAAGTGTGAGTTGAACCAAGGCCTACAGAGACACCCTGGAGCAAACAGCCATGGCCAAACTCCTCTTCCAGGGGCAAAGATCAAGTTTTCTATTCCTGCTGCAGCAGTTACACAACAGCAGAAATCAGCTGCTGTATGTGGAGAACCAGCAGTGACAACAGAGCGTGGGAGGAGTTGCAGGATTGTCTTCAGGGCCCAAGTGCTTAAAGCACTGCTGTTCAAACTCACCCCTTTCCTGACCCCACAGTTGTCTCTCTGACACAGCAAGGTGGTGCCTCTGCAGGCTGAGCAGGTGAGGTTACAAACTGTAAGAACTTACTTTCACAGAATAGTCAGGGTTGGAAGGGACCTCTGCAGACCATTTAATCCGACCCCTCTGCCCAGGCAGGGTCACCTGGAGCAGGTGACACAGGAACAAGTCCAGGTGAGTTTGGGATGTCCACAGAGAAGGAGACTCCACGCCCTCCCTGGACAACTGTTCAGGGCTCTGCCACCCTCAGTGTACAGAAATTCTTCCTCATGAGGTGGAACTCCTTGCTTTATGTTTATGGCCATTGCTCCTTGTCCTGTTGCTGGACACCACTGAGGGGAGCCTGGCACCGTCCTCTTGGCACCCACCCTTGAGATATTTGTATGCATTGATGAGATCCCCTCTGAATCTTCTCTTCCCCGGACTAAACAGGCCCAGCTCCTGCAGTCCCTCATAAGAGATGCTCCAGACCCCTCATGTTTATGGCCTCTGCTTGATCCTCTCCAGGAGCTCCTTGTCTTTCCTGCGCTGTGGAGACCAGAACTGAACACAGCACTCCCTCTCCAGGGCTGGGAGTCTCACTTCTGAGAGGGTGCTCATTTCCAGCAGAATCAGATTGTTCAATGTGGAGGATTTTAAATCAGGTTCATCTTTCAGGTAACAAGCATAGCACCTTGAACTGACACCCAAACACACAGCTATGGGGTAAGAAGAGTTTCTGTCCAACACAAGCATTGAAGTGAAACAAAACAGGGCAGTGCAACCACTCCTTCCTGCAAAATCCTTTCATACCTTAAGTTTTAGTTTGAGGAGGTCAAAAGCAGCACAGGAAAACCTATTGCCCATAACCTGCACACCCCAAACCCTTCAAGTGACCCCTGGCAGGGAAGCAGCTCCCTCATTTGTGCTGTAGAGGGGTTGGAAGGATTTACATGTCACTTCTTTGCAGTTAGAGCTCTTTTATTGTTACCTTTGCTGGGTGTGTGTGGTTACAGGCACAGTCAGGGCTTGTCGTCGCTGTAGTAGCGCTGCTTCATGGCTCGGTATTTCCTCAGGAAGTACAAAGCCTCCAGCTCCTTTATAACAAACTCTCCCCGGGCAATCAGCTGCTTAATTTTTTCTGGGTCTGTCTCATCTTTGTTTTTTAGAAAAGCTGCTTTCAACCGGCTTCTGAAGTAGTCTGCTCCTTTGGGATACTCCCTTCCAAGGTACAGCAGCTTGGAGAGAAAAGAATAATAATGTGGTTTTAATTAACTGAGCGCACAGTGAAAGGGGGTTTGTTTTCTGGTTAAGGAAATTGCTGGTGGCATTTGAGACACTTACATTTTTGTACAGTTTTATCACTTCACTTCTTAAAGAACTGGCCATTCTCACATTTCAGTGAACTGTGTCCTTGTGTGATTTTTTTGGTTTGTTTGGGTTTTGTTACCTGAAGGATAATCAATTTGAAATTAGCCTTCTCTGGGAGTCAGTGAACTGCCTCAGCCCTCCTAAAACTTCTGTATCCCACCAAGCCCCGCTTGCTCTGATTCTGGTTCTACTCCATCTCTTCTTTCTTTTTCTTTCCTACTTTTTATTCTATTTAGCTTCTCATTGTCTTCTCCTCTCCCCCCTCAAACAGAAAACAAGAAACTTCTAATAACTTTCAACAGCTGGGACACTTTGTGCTGTTCATTGGCTGCTTTCTCACACCCTTACAATTCTGCACCTGCTGGCCTGGCCGCTTCTGTGTGGTCTACTAAAAAACTGTATCTACATTTTTTTTAATATACATATATATATAATCCATATTTATGTATTTTATATATTCATAGAGCAATGTTTATAACATATTTTGATAAGTTTATTTTTATCTCCACATATATTTATGTATTACATATTCCTATATTGTATATATTTTATACATATGCGTTTATATTCCTGCAACTGTCACATTCATAAATTTTGCTTTCTTAAGGACTCTTCAAGTGCGTTACAAATTGAGTCCAGTGTGCACCGGCAAAACGTAAGGATAAGTGACAAAGTAACTGATTCTTATTTCTGTATTCTGTGATTTTCAAAATCACAGGAAAGAACCTTAAAGATCATCTCGTCCCCACCCGCGGCCGTGGGCAGGGACACCTTCCACTGTCCCGGCTTGCTCAGAGCCCCGCCCAGCCCGGCCTCGGACGCTGCCAGGGACGGGGCAGCCAAATCCAAATCACAAGAGACTGGAATGCAGTCCAGCTCCCGCTGCGGGGCCTCCTGGGGCCGCCGCCTCGCCCTGGCTCTGCCCGCCGCCCCGTTCTCCCCGGAGCCACGCCCGGTTCCCCGCGGATCCCGGCGAGGCCGGACCGGGACCTCACCCGCTGCTCCCGGAACCGCCGCCGTGCCGCTTTACGGCAGCGCCGGGAGCGCCCGGCCCCAGCTGCGCATGCGCCGCCGCCGTGGCTGCGGGCGGGGCCCGAGGGGGGCGGGACCCTGAGGGAGGCGGGCGCGGCCACGGGCCCCGGGAGCCTGAGGGACGGGCACCGGCGTCCTGTGGGAGGCGGGCACGACCACGGGCATCGGGAGCCTGAGGGACACGGCCACGGGCTCCGGCGTCCTGAGGGACACGGGCACTGCCACCCGCGGCAGGCCATGGTGGGGCAGGGAAGGGGCCTGGGTGCGGGTTACATGGTGGGGCGGGGAAGGATGAGGTGTGGACTAAAGCGGGGTGTTCTTGTGAGCTGCCCAAGTCCCTGGAGGTGGGAGAAAGGCTTTGAGGATGAAAGAAGCAGCCGAAGGGTGGGTTATCTGTTGTGTGAGCCCTTGTGCCGTGAGTTGCTGCTGTGGGTGCTCCGTGTGGAGCCAGCCGGGAGGCGGCTCACACTTTGTTGCTAGAATGGCTCCGTGGTAAAAAACTTCATTCCAAGAGTCATGTATTAGTGGCTAATTTTCTGCAGAATTGGAATTCTTGTCACTATAATTTTTCAATAGATGATCCCATCCAATTTTAACAGAATAATACTATCTTTTAAATTATTCCTTCCATACACTGTTTTCTGATGTTCTCTTTCCTTTTCTCCCCCCCTTCTGATCTTTTAGGCTCCGAAAAAAAAGGTAGGTGGGCAGAAACACGCTGTAGTTCACTGTTGTGTTTATTTTTTTATCCGATTTTTTTTTGTTTTTTTCCTGAGGCAGCTGGCCAGGGTTAATGAATCTGAAGGGGGAAGAGGCGTCTCCAGGACACCGAGCTTTTGTGCCTAGAGCAGGGAAGCCAAATGTTCCTGCAGCGCTGCTGGAGGGAGCGTGGCCAGCGCAGCCACTGCTTGTTTGGCTTGGCAACGGGTGTCCAGGCAGAGAGGCGCTGTCCCGGCTCTGTCCCCGCCATGAGGTGGCAGCAGGAGCAGGGCAGTGACTGTCCCCTGTGCTGGGCTCTGGCGAGGCCACACTTCCAGTGCTGTGTCCAGTTCTGGGCCCCTCACTGCAAGATGGACGTGGAAAGGCTGGAGCGTGTCTGGAGAAGGGAAGGGAGCTGGGCAGGGGGCTGGAGCAGCAGGTACAGCTGTGGGGGTGAGCCTGGAGAAAAGGAGGCTCTGGAGGGACCTTCTGGCTCTGCACAACTCCCTGACAGGAGGGGACAGCCAGGAGAATTCGGGCTCTGCTCCCAAGGAACAGGGGGCAGGATCTGAGGAACGTCCTCAAGCTGTGCCAGGGCAGGTCAGGTTGGACATCAGCAGCAATTTCATCATGAAAGGTTTGTCAAGCATTGGAAGGGGCTGCCCAGGGAAGTTTGGAGTTGCCATGCCTGGAGGTGTCCAAGGAAGGCCTGGACATGGCACTCAATGCTCTGGGCTGGGGGACAAGGTGGGGATTGGGCACAGCTTGGACTTGATGATCTTGGAGGCCTTTTCCAACCTGAATGCTTCTGGGATTCTGTTATTTGAGCCATAGGCTAGACACAGAATAAGGGGGGTGAAGGTACAACAGGCAGAAGTCCATGGGAAACTGAGTTGCATGAATTGGTCCTGTAGGTTATCCTTAATTCAGTGATAATGAATTTATCTACCGCTCCCCAGCTGTGCATCTCACTCTTCTCAGTGCTCTGTTAAGTCATAGGAATGTGAAAAGAAATTAAGTAAAATTTGATTTCAAGTAATTGAAACAAGCAGGTTTTCAATTTTCAGTTTATTTATTTATTTATTTATTTATTTATTTATTTATTTTTCAAAATGAAAATAAATTCTTCCCTGAAATCCTAATGGGTAGCAGTGTGAGTTGTACTGACTCCATTTTGGGATAATTTTGCAAATGAGTGCTTTGGTACCAAATGCAGTAGGATGCACTCAGACTCTGGTGACGCTTAACTGTCACCATTGTATTTGTCCCAGCTTCATGGCAATCTCTGTACTCAAAGTTGCATTGTATATATATTTAAAATATATTTATATATTGTAAATGTATATATTTACAATATTACAATATTACAATTATATAAAGTTGCATATAAATATATTTATGCCAATGTATTTATTGCCATGCCAAGTAGTGTGATGTGAACAAGTAGGTATTTATATCTGAATGTGTGATAGTCGAAATCAAAGTGTGAAATAAGTGTGTGTGAAGATGGAACAGTGGTCAGATACTTTCTGAGAACCTCAAATTTAAAATATAGTTACTCTGGGATATGCTGGAGGTGAACAGTGAACTGTCTGGAATGAGATTTCATAACAGAAAAGAGAACTCTTTGCTGTTTTGTCTTGTGAATTAGATGCTTCTAAATGCCAGGCTTGTCCCAAAATACATTTTCCAGTATTTCCTAGAATGTTTGAAGTTGTAGCATCTACTTTCTTAGCAGATCTTCCTGCTATTCAGTTTCTACACTAAACCAAAATATTTTAATACTCTCGTGTTGTGGCTGTGTTTGGGAATGTCTAGCATCAAAAAATGCATTAATTTTAGGACCTTATCATAAAAATGAGAGGAAAAAAAATTTTGTCCAGAATGTGCATTACTATTCTGGGGCCTTGGCTGTCTAGAGAGGGTAAAATCTTAATTGAGGGATCACACTGGAAGGGCAAAGTTATACAGTTATAAAACTGCCAAAGTGTCTTCAATAATGCTGACATTTGTTTTTTTCTCCCTTACTGCAAACATGAAATTCATTGGCAAAAATGGAAAGTCAAAGAAAGGAAAGGCAGCGAGGCTGAGAGGTACTGTGCACTTCATTTCGAGGGAATGTGATGGACAAACTGTTAATTTTAAATAAATGGACAGGAGGCCCTGAACTAGATGTGAATTGCTGTCTCTGTTTCACAAATGGAAATGTTCTTCCCTCTTTTCTGGGGTGGGCCAAACTCCCTGTTCCTTGATGCTGCCCCTCCCTTCCCTATCAGAGCAATACTCTCTTCTCTAGTGATTCCTACTGCAATTAGCAAGTTGGGAAGAATTAACTTGCCATTAACCCATCCTGCTGGGGGCTTGGGCATGCTGTGGCTGCCAGGAAGTGACTGCCAGTTCCTGGTGAGCTTTTGTGGTGGGAGTGGAAGCTCAAGTGGGCACAGGCAGATTTGGGAGCTGCTGCTGCTCTTGCCTCAGTGCAGCACACGCTTGACACGATTTACTTGGAGGTGATGACATCAAGTCACTGTTTGGGGACATCTGGATGGCACACAGGCTGTGCCATCTTAGGCTGAAGGCTTAGAGGTTCAATCAGTTCTAGTTTTCACATCCTCTCTAATTTTCTAGTCCATATGGCAGCAAAGAGAAGCCAGGGCTGTGGAGTAGCAGATCATGAAGTGGATTTCAATGAACAAACAGCTGTAAAATTGAAATTGTAGGAAAGAAGAAGAGGAATTTGGGATTAAAGCACTGAGTTTCACTCAAGACTTTGGATTGAGAACCTGTGTCCATTGAAGCTGTAGATGGAGAGAGCACTTGCACTGATGGGGCAGAGACAGTATGTTTTTGTAGTATTCAAATAAATTTGGATCAATCTTCATATGGGAGATTTCTGTGCAGTGAAAGATAAACATTTACGTTGCTCATTTTATAGTGGTTTTCTCATTACAGCTGGTAACCAAATAATCTCTTAGATTGTATTTAGGAAAGCATGGTTATGCCCTTGATCTCTTTCCAATCCTCAGCTGAAGCCCTGTTACGAGCTCAACAAGAAGAAGAAGCAAGACTTGAAAGGGAGAGACTGTATCGAGAGCTCGTGGAAAGGCTTGAGGCAAAGGTTGGTCTTTTACTCAATGAAAAAATCTAATCTTTTTTTCTTAACTTGAGACAAGGCCTGTAAAACACCAGTGACTTATAGGAATTCATCTCCTTATGCACTTATTGTTGGGAACAATATTGAGGAGATTTTCCAGTTTTGATAAATTTAAATACATTACCTTATGTCATATGTGTTTCTTAAGTTTGTTAAATGCCTTTTTTATTATTTCCCATTTCCACTGTGCTTTTAACTGAATATATTTTTCATATTCCCCATGAGAATATTTGCTACAAATTCCTAATTGGTTCCCTGTTCAGGCAGATACAGTGATTTGTATTTATATATATGTGTGTGTATTAGTCTATGTATATTTATTTTTCTGACCAGTCTGGCATTCAGAACAAAAACTGATTGGTAATAGATAAATATTTTTATGTTTAAAAAGAAAAAAAACCCCAAGATTTACAACAAACTAAATTTTTTTGAAAGAGTCACTCTTGTCTGCTCCTCTTATACTTCACAGAATATTCTTTTCCTCCTAGGGAGAAGATAACCTTAAAATAATAGAAACTAAAAGGCAAAAAATAAAACAATCTTGCATGTTTTTTCCAAATTATCCTTACATATTGTAGCAGCTCCCATTAGAGCTGGCTCCAGGAGGCTGATATGGAAACTGTTGAAGTGAGAGGTTGCAATCATATGTCACATTATGTTTATCATGTGGCTCAGCAGCTACTGTGATGACAATAACATATTTCAAACTACTGCAGTCTTCTCAATTGGATGTTTCATTAAAAAAAACAAGTTTTCAGTGTTTGGATTTGTTTAAATAGTAACTCATTCAAATATCTCCAATTTGTTTCTTCTATGTGAAATAATTGTAAGAAATAAGCCAAATATTTAACTGCTGTGTTTGGTATGTGTATTTTTTTAATAGTATGAAGTAGAGAAGGAGTCTGAACTAGCCCAATATAATTCACTTGCACAGAAGTTTCTTTCTGCAAAGCAGTGGAAAATGGATTACAGAGAACAAGCCAAGGTAAGTTTTCTTGCCAAAATCTGCCCAGAGGTTTGGCAAGGAAGAGACTTCAGGAGCTTCCAGTTCCTGAATGTGTGTGTGTGCTATGGCAGCATTTTGAATTCCATCTCAAAGCAGTGACAGGCCATGCTCACTCTCTTATCTTCTGTGCTTTGGAGCACACAGAAAGGAAATGTGGGCAAAGAGGAGCCTGTTTGGTGATCAGAGTATCACTGCCCCACACCTCACCCCAACAGTCACAAGAAACTGTAATTTCAGATGTTCTGGTACCTGTTCTTCCTCTTTCATTTCTTTAATTTATTCTGCTTTTAACCATTTCACGAAAAAAGTTCTGCCAGGGCTTAAAAAATCTGTAGAGCATTTGTTTCAGTGGCTCCTGGATATCACAGATCATCATTCAGAGAGAGAGGTTTGCCAGATTTTTGAAGGATGTGGCACAAACCCAGGTCAGGGCTGGAAATGTCTGAAAATGCAGCTAAAAGTTTATCTCTGTAGTTTAGGGTGACATCCATGGTGGCTGTATCAGCAGCCAATGGCATTATGTACCTGTCAAGTTCAATTTGAAGTGGTAAGGTGTGGAAATAGAGCAGATTTCACTCTTGAGAATCCTGCAGCCACATCACTCAGTAACAGTCTGATCATGACCTTTGGTCAGGTAAAGAGCCAAAGGTTTAATATCCTACAGGCCTGTGGACACAAGGATTTTGTCTTTGTCTTGTTATTGCTTAATCCTGTTCAAGTCTCTGCAGAGCAACTCCACAATCATGTTGGATAAATCATGTTAGAGAGGACTTCTGAAATTCCTGCAGTTCAGCCTCCTGCACCAAGCAGGGCAAAGTCTGAAGTCAAATCAAGATGCTCAGTTGGGTTTTGGTGTTAAGTTTGGGTTTTGAGTTTTTTGGTGTTAAAAGTTGGAGGTACCAGAGCATCTTTGCCAGCTTTACCACTCTCACTATAACCATTTTTCTCTGAATGCACTTGGCATTTCCCTATTACAGCTTGTGACCATTGCCAGCTGTTGTTTGTGGATGTTTCTGACAAACTAGAACTATTGGTTTTAAAATAAGTCTGATAAAACACTGGTAGATCATGGGAAATACCAGAGTTTCTTTTAGTCTGTTGTTAAGATTATTTAGGATAAAATAAATATATAATACCAAATACTGAGTTTCCACATCTATTTCTGATTAATTTCAGTTTAGATGAAGACATGCATTTACAATTTACCATGAAATTTACCCTTTTTCTCAAAAAAAAGTGCTGTTACTTCTGAGAATGTGATGATAAAAGTGAAGCTCTCTTAAGTGCAAAGATGTAAAAAAAAGAAATCAGATGTCTTACTACTGAAAATTGACCAGTCTTCTGTACAGGAGTGTCCAGTGCACTCAGCACTGCCCTGTTGTTGCTTTGTTTGAAGTCAGTGGCAATGCTGCTGGAAGTGGTTGGGAATGCAATCCTATAAGTGCTTTGCTTTAAAAGATACATTTTCCTTTGCAATGCAATTTTCAGCAGCATGGGGTTATTCATCTTCACAGCAAACAGGGGGGCAATGTTTTCTTAATATCCTATTCTAGGGATGAACAAAATTCCATTATGGGTGATAAATTGATGCCATGAGCCAGCGTTAGGCTTATGTTTGCCATTAAGTGGGTTTAGTCTGCCACTGATTTTTTCCTTCCACCTCTTATAGGAATGACCAAGAATTGATTTGAAAATAAAATTATTTTTAAAAAGCCCTAATCTAGGATTTCACATTCCTACCAGAGGTTTCTGCAACAGGATAATTGATGCTGGTAAGGAAGAGGAAATCTCCTTCAGAGGCAGAGAAAGGAGGAGTAAATGTGTTGCAGTAGAGGCTCTTAATCAACTTTATTGCCAATGTAGGAATTTTCAGTTTTCTTGGCAGAATCTGATCTGAGACCCACCTGCATCTTCCTCACTTCTGTTCTCTGTCATTTTATTCTTCCAGCCCCTCCCTTGTGGCAGGTACTGAATTCATTGCTTTTGTGGAGCAGAGCAGAACCCACTGATAAATAGCTATAAACAAGTATGAGGTGGGCAGAAGCATCTTAACACATTAATACCAAAATAAACCTTTTTTTCCTGGCATAGGGATAATAAACCAGGTGGTGTTAGAATCCTTTTTAGATGCAAGTGTGGATTTGTCACTATAATATATTTGTTGTTCAGAATCCTCCTTTTTCCTGTAATAGCAGGGTGCAGCACACCTGTATCCACTTTTCTGTGCACTCTCCTGCAGTGGGAGCACTACCTGAGCTGTGATGGGGCTCCTGACCCCACTGTGCCTCAGGAAATCAACACTTTCATGAGCTTGTGGCGTGATGAGCAAGATCAGGATGTTCAGCTTGTGATGGAGAAGGGGGAAGTGGTGCTGCATGTAAGTGTTTAAATGTGTATTTCAGTTTAACATATCCTTAACAGCCCTCTCTAACTCTATTTTCCCATTTTTCATGGCCAAATGAGTGAAAGACCTTCAACACCTAGAAGTTTTTCTTCAATTTTTCTATTTTTCCTAAATTAGAGATCTATTGTTAACCCTGAAGAAGATGTGTATTGACTTTCAATATGCATTTAAGGGATTTTTGCTGTGTTTCATACACTGAGGTCTAGCATTCCAACACCCATACTCCCATTTTAAACCAGAGCATAAAGCTCATGTCAGATATGAATGCTTTGGTGGGCAACAGCCTCATTTTGTAACACTTGAAGCAGTAAAATGTCATGTAAGAGCAAAAGTTCCCAGAATTGATTTTTACCAACAGAAGTCACCAGCCATTGATAGCATGTGAAGCAATTTTTAACAATCTGTGCCTGCTCTGTAAATTCAGGATTTTATTTTCATTTATTCTGACTTTATGTTGTTTTTCAGAAAGTTAAATGGGGTCTTCTGCAAACTGGGGGAGAAAGTTGCATGTGTAATACAGGTTTCATTGGGTTGGTTTGATTCTGAGCTAGATTTCTTATCTATTAAAAAAAAAAAGGTTCTTTTTATGACCAAAATCTGTTTAGATGCAAAGGAAGTAGGTTTGCCTTGTTTTTCATGGCAGAACACACAATATGTTACAGATGGTGTCAAAACAAATACTTTCCCCATGTAAATGTTTTCTAGTTGATTGAGAAGTTGCAGTTTCTTCTGCTGGAGACAGCACCAGAGGACATCACAGACGAAAAACAAGAGCAGTACCTGCAAGTTATTCTGCAATTGCAGGATCTCCTTCACCAGAAATACAACGATGCTACCCAGAGCCTGCTCAAAGTGAGTGAGGTTTTCTGCTTCAGAGCTGTGATTTGTGCACATCAGTTACCACCAAATGTCCTTTAATGATGGTTGGTTCTGTTTGGTCCTGAACTGGCACAGAGATGAGTCTGTGAGTTTCCAAATCACGTTTATAGCACTCAGCAGACTTTGTCATCACTCAAAACTCCTCAAAATCTGAACTTTACAGTGGAAAATCTCACCATTAAGTCAGACAAGAATAAACTACTGGGAAATTTTGTGAGACTTGGGGATGATGATAAGAAGAGTTGCTGTATGAAATTTGTTGACTGTACCAAAAAATTGTAGATGTGAAAAGCAACTCATAAGGTTGCCTTGTACACATTTTTTAAATACAAGTTCATGTGAAAAGCAGTTCATAAGGTTGCCTTGTACATGTTTTTTTATACAAGATCACGTAATTAAAATATTTTTGAAACTAAGATCTTGGGAAAGGTGAAGAGTACTCAAACAAGAAAATGAAATTGTGGTGAAGAGTCAGTTTTCTGAGCTGCATGTGTAGGTAGTAACCTTGCTATTTCAAGAATAATAATCATATATATAAAGTATATTTAGCAAAGGAATGTCAGTGAAATAGTGAACCAGTTGTATGGGCACAGTCAAAACCTGCTGCAAATTAAGAAATGTTAAATTCTTGTTTACTGAATTTAGGATTAAGCTCCCAATAGAATTAGTATTTCACAAGTTTGATGCTGCCTGAATGATAAAATAATCTGTACAGTGCATCTGGGGTAGGAGTCCATTATTGGTCAGTAAATCCTCTTTTTGTTTGTTTTTTATATTTTATCCTGAGAATTAGGGAAATAATGGAAGAACCCATATTTGGCAGTACTTGGCTCACAAAATTTATGAAGTCAGAGAAAAAAAAGCAATGTAGTTCAAATTTTAAGCAACAGATTTGAGTTTGTAACTGTTGTGCTTTAATATATAAATACAACACAGCTGGGCTTGGTCTGGTGTCTTTTTATTCTTACATGTATTTATTTATTCAAGTAAATGTAGGTAAATCAAAGTGAAATAAATAACAAATGATTTCATTGGCTTTTTCTTCACAGATAGCTAGTATGTATGAAGATTCTGAAAGTGGAAATATGCACACAGTCCTAAAGGATATAAATGTTACTTTCTGTCTTTGGGCCAATCTGAAGATGAAAGTAAGGTACGGCACACTGAAATTGTTAATTTGAAATGTGGCCTGGCTTTGTTGAGTAAACACTAAGAATCAATTTCTCATTATCTTTTTTTTTTTTGTTGTTGAATAGCATCCATTCTGCAGAGTCTCAGTGATGGCTGCTGCTAAGGAGGGGTTTAGAGATATATAAATTTATTTCTTAAAATGCAGCAGCATAATCCTGTCACTGACAACAAATCTGGAAGAAAAACAGTAAAGCTCATGCAGAGAATTGAAATTCCTCTGGAAGCAGTGTTTCTTGCTGATGCATTTAATATTTTCTAAGTTGTTCCAGTTGCTTGCAAAGCAGTGAATGATACTTTGTGCTCAGTTAGAGAAAATATTTTAGAGCCTGGGATGCACTATCATTGCTGAATCTAAGGTTTGTGTTTTTATTGGATTGCCATATAAATGGTACATTTTCAAAATGAGATTTTTGAGCAGACTTCCTACTCCCACTCATAAACATAAGGAATAAGTTATTAAAAGCTTGGCTAAGGATGTGGTGTTGTGAGTTTTGTTAAGATGAGTAGAAAGGTGGGTGCTGAGCAGCATCAGACTGACCTGCAGGAAGAACCTGTATGGGTTAAGTGTTAAAGCCTTGTGGGCAGCAGAAGATTCATTTAAAATATTCAACCAACAATTAAAAGCTAGGTGTTGCTTCACTGGAAGATTTTAGAACTTGTGACTAGCTTATCTTATTCAAAAGTAAGTATTGTTTAAATTATTTTGAAAGAGAGAGTGATGTAACACAGACAACTGTGCAGGAATTTTCCCAATAAATTAGTCCAGTTTCACCAGGAATGTAGTTTCTAGAAGAGCTGCCATCTGATCCTGCCTCATTGTCATCCTGTCGAGACTTAGTTTTGAAACTTCTGATCCCCTTGGTGCAGCTGTGGCTTTGCTGCAGGGTCTCACAGGGAAATGCTGTGGGATGGCACTGCAGCAAATCCTAGCAGAGATGTGACATTGTGAGAAATCCCAGCAGAGATGTGACACTGTGAGGAGTCCCAGCAGAGGTGTGACATTGTGAGGAGTCCCAGCAGAGATGGGACATTGTGAGGAGTCCCAGCAGAGATGGGACATTGTTGTTGCCCGATTGATAAAGGACACAAAACTCGGATAAGTTTTGTGCGGCGCTTTATTGAAGGGCCCGGGGGCCTGCGGACTAGTGTCCCCAAAAACAGAGCCCCGAAATTCACACATGGGTGTTTTCCTTTTATATACATGGCAATTCATAACAAAGTCTCCAAGAAACAGTGGCCATTTGCCAAACTACGGACCCTTGTAATACATTCCCTAGTTCACGAGCAAAATCATAAATCTTCTACCTGTCCTATTGTATGCTACCTCCCCAAACTGGTTGATCTTCTTTACTCTCCTACCCTGGCTTAATGTTTATTGAGTTTCAACATACAACGGCTACAAAATTATTTTTACAAACCAATTCACACAAAACTCATAACTAAACTATAATAAAACATTTTGCTAAATTTCATTTCTTTTCCAACATTGTGAGGAATCCCAGCAGAGATGTGACATTGTGAGGAGTCCCAGCAGGGATGTGACACTGTGAGGAGTCCCAGCAGAGGTGTGACACTGTGGGGAGCCCCGATGCAGCGCTGCCATGTGACCAGGCCCCGTGCTGTGTCCCTGCCGTTGCAGGTACAAGGACCACGTGTTCCAGGAGGCGGGGCACGCCTTTGAGCTGCCCATGTCCCTGGCTCTGAGCAGCGTGGCCGTTCGCGTGCTCTACACCCGCTACGACCACGTGTCCCCCCTGTGGGTGCAGTGCCAGGGGCTGCCGAGGCAGGAGGGCCCCGCCACCCTGGAGTCAGCTGAGCAGCCGCAGGACACTGGGCAAGGATCAGGAGAGGAGGAGGAGGAGGAAGGCTCGGAAGAACCCAGCGTGCCTGCTGCAGAGAAAACGGGTTCTAAGGGCAGAAAGGTGGGTAAAAACCTCCTCAAAGGATACCCTGCACTGCTCTTGTAAACTTCAGGCTCAGTCACAGTGTCCTGTGCAGGACAGCCAAATCCTTAAATGTTTCATAGGAAAAGGCAGCTTGTGTCATCAGTGTCTGAGATCTTCTCAAGGGAATGCAGAGATGGGAAGTTTGGACAGGGTGTGCAGTTGGCATTTGGTTAAAGAGAAGGATTGAGCGTGAAGTGCCATTGCAAGATATTTCTGTAAATCTCTGGCATATATACAGATTAATGGATTCTGCTTCTGCAAAACTGACAGTCCCACAAAATCTCATCAGGAATCCAATTTTAGGGAAATTTGCAGCATGCAGACTAAGATTCAGGGTTCAGCAGGTATTGGCTGTGTAGGGGCCTGGCTGTTCCATGTCTGTGTGTTCACCCTTTGCTGTTAGAGCCTTTTCAAATATGATTTCTGGCTGTCCTCTTCCTCAGCTCTCTTCCATGGAATATGTTGGCTCTAGGTGTGATGGAGGTTGCTTGGTTTTGTGCTGTCTGTACTGCATTTGGAGTTTTTACCCTGTGTATTTATCTGTGACTTTCAGATAAATGCCCTGTGTTCTCTCTCTAAAATGATGCAGAAATAGCTGACAAAACATCAAGTTTTAGTCCTTCTTACTATGTTTGGAGCAATTTCATGGGATAATATGAGTGAAAGGGGACCCACAGGGATCCTTGAGTCCAACTCTTAAGTGAATAAATTCTGGGATCCATACAGGGATCAAACAGGGATTGAACCTCTGTCCATGATCATGGCTTTTCTCCTTTTCAGTCCCCAACACCTTTGTAATGAATCAGTGCTTGAAACCCTGCTTCTCTTGGTTCCTTTTTTCTTTTTTTATATGACAAATCTTATCTTTTGGCACTTTTCACCTGCATTTCTCAGATTTTCTTTAAGCTGCTTCATTTTATTCCCTCTCTTTTTCTTTCCCAGGTCTTGGTGCTCTTTCTCTCAATCCATTTTGTGGATTTTCCTCTTCCCTCTGAAGGCTCCACTTCTCTCAGCTTCTGTCCTCTCTCCTCCTGTCCTGTTTGAGGAGATGTGTGGCAGGCACAGAAGGTGCTGTGCCTCCAGAGGAGCTTGCTGTGGCATGGATGAATCCCTGTCTGCTCTGGACATTTGTCTGGAAACCCAGGGGAAGTACCTTGAGCTCCCCCACATTGCTGTGTGTAAACACAGTGAAATACAGTGTGAAAGGGAATAAATCTCCTGGGCCAGGCACAGGCCAGAGCTGCAGATGGGGCTCTGGCACAGTTTCAGTGTTGGTTTGGATTCAGCCTCCACATGCATTTTACTGTGTGCCACTCTGCTGACTGTAAAATCAGCAAAAAGCACAAGTTTTGAGTGCACACTCTGCTGAAAAAATGTTGGGTGCTTGTTTGGTACTCAGGGAGCTCAAGATGGAATTTGCTGTGGAAATGAAGTAATTACTTTGTCTCTATCTCTAAATCCAGTTCCAAATCAGAGAGTACCTTTAATCAAAATATTTTGATAGCTAAATAGAAATTATTTCTCTTAAAACCTTGACCCTGTAGCAAGATTGGTACAAATGTTTGTGTGTCCCTTCTCCTTGGGCCTCCTTGGAGGAGGTGATACCTTCTTCTTCATTGTGTTTGTCTCTGACTAATGGAAAAATGTCTCTTGCTTTTTGTCTAGAAGAGTTCTGCCTCACTGAAGGAGACCAGCAATAACAAAGATGATATAAAGGAGACACAGGAGGAAACTGAGAAGAATTCAGAAAATTTGGAGGAGCCATCACAAGGTATTTGGTTACTTTTTATGTGTAGCACTACAAAAGTACTTAGGCTCAGTATTTTATGTGTTAAAAATTGTTCCTTGTGAGTGTGGGGAGGCCCTGGCACAGGGTGCCCAGAGAAGCTGGGGCTGCCCCATCCCTGGAAGTGTCCAAGAGAGGATGGATGGGGCTCTGAGCAACCTGGGGTAGGTGAAGGTGCCCAGGGGGCTGGAACTGGACTGAAAAGGCCCCTTCCAACCCAGGCCATTCCGTGATCCATGGAAACTCTGAAATATCTCCATGTGAATGGAGCAAAGTTTATAAATATAGGGATGTTTTGATAACACTTGGGGTTTGTTGACATTTCTATTAATGATTGTTAAATCATGTCTGGAGATAACAGGACAGATAGGAAAATGGAGTTTGTCCCCATACATATTTTTATTCCTTTATTATTTAAGCTTATGTACATGTTTATCATGTTTAGATAGATATGTGTATTATTATACATATGTTTATGGGTGAGACACACAATCTTTATGAATCTGCCAGGCTCTGGGGAAATTTACTTCCTCAGAAAATGATGATTCCAATGTATATCATGGTAGGCATTGGTGTAGTGTGGGATGGTACTGAGTATTACCTGAATGGTGCTTAAAGTGAGAGGGCCTAATTCTAGGAACTAAAACTGTCTGTCTCACAAAAGTTACAAATTTCTCCAGTGTTGTGGTGTTGTCCTTTGGTTTAATAAGAATGTGTTTTCTTGTGGTACTGACTTAAATAAAACAACTGCAAACAGCCATTATCATAATTTAGCTCCACTTTACAGCCTTTTTCTTCTGGTAAAAAAACAAACCCCACCCCACAACACTTTGGACTGAGCACAGTCCAGAGAACCAGTTGTCAGACTAGACCCTAAAAGCAAAGTTTTCAAAAGAATATAAAGGACTTGGGCCTCATGTGGAGGAATTTGTATTTTATTTCTGTCAGGCTTTGAAAACCCCTACCACAGTATTAGATGACGTGGATGTGCACAGATGTGCACAATTATACCTGAGTGTTTTCCAGCTTTTTTATATGTTTTAATAAAGAAAGAAGGAAAAAACTGCTTTTTCTGGCATGCTCATGGTTTGCAAACTCTTTCAATCACGTTTGAGAAGAGCAGTGAGAGAGGGTGCTCAGTTACTTTAAGTTGGAAACAAGGAGTCAGGTAAATGAGGGTTAAAAACCAGAAATGCAACAACAGAGAAGACAGAAGTGACAGTTTATCTGGATTTACCCTTATTGTGCCTCTGTTAAGGAGATAAATTACCTTGGGACAATAAATAGTTTCTTTAGAAGATACTTATATATCTTTGTAATATTATTTTAAAAAGCAAGCTAAAGTGTAAGCTACCACTGTAAAATGCACTAAAATGGTTTTTGCTACTTAGTAAGTTTGTTGTTCAGAATAACTCTAAAAGCACATTATGGTGGTGTGTGATACAGTAGAGTAAAACCTCTGCAGAATATAACTAAATCTGACATTAAATTAACACCATCTTCACTTTTTTTTTTTTAAGCTTGAAGACAATTTATAGAGAGCATTCTCATTTTTTGATATGGTCTTATTCTCTCAGAGCAAATTTCATAACAATTAGAGTAGCTGTTTTTACAGTATTGAACACCTTTTTCTTGATTCCTGTCAAAAATAACTCCTCTCCTCCAAGTGATGTTTTATATGAGCTGGTTTGCTTTTTTAAAGAAAATATTTATGGCCATTTTTTCCACAGTGTTTCTGCCTTTTACTAACATTTTCCAACTAATTAAACCGTAAGTTCATACATTTGTTCTGTATATGTAATTATGCATAGGAAAAAAAAAGGAATTATTTTTGTTATCTGAAAATTGTGTTTCGTGTTAAATCCTCTTGCTCTTCCTAATTACCATGTCTTTCACCTTCAGCACATGACTTCTTGTATTTTTATATATCTCTTTATTTGCTTCATTTCTTTTCATATCAATACAATCTTACTAAACCTGCCTAGAATCTACTGTATTACTGTGCTTGTGAAATTCTTCTGTGGGTAACGATGGACTCATTCTGTCAGTAAAACCTTATTCCCACAGAAAGCACTTGGAATTGCAAATCCCAAAGCTCAGCCCCAGTCCCGAGTGCTTTTCCTCGCCCCGCTCCTGCTGTCCCGGTTCCAGGGATGCCGAGGAGCGCCAGCAGATGGGGCCGGAACGCTGCACAGGGAAGCGCTCCCGGCACGGCGGGACCGGCACAGGGCGATGCTAGCGGGCCTGAGCCCCGCTGAGCTCTCGCTGTCTGCTGCACTTCCAGAGGAGGAGGCCCCGCTGCAGGAGGAGCCGGGAGGCGGAGAAGAGGCGCCGCGAGTTGTGGATTTGGAGCAGCTGGTGCCCGTGGGGGGCGTGTTCCACATCTCTGTCCTGCGGCTGCCGCCCCAGGCCCAGGACGTCGGGGACTGGATCATGGTGGAGGTGAGGGAGGGCAGGGAGCAGCCCCTGGGGTTTGTCACTGCTGTCACATGCACTGCACACGAGTTCCTGACAGCAAACTGACCAGGCAAGGTTTGCAAATCATCAGTTTTTCACACCTGAAAGGTGGGAGCACAGTGGTACCCAAGCCCACTGCTGGTTCAGCTCCAGGCCCGGCAGGCTGCCTGAGGACTGTGGGCACTGGGTTCTGGTTTCCTCTAGCACCGCCCTACCTCACAGAGGGCACTGTGGAGCTGGAAACCTTTAACAATCACAATTCCCAAAAGGCCAAACCCAGAGGGCAGGGGAAGAGGCCCAGGATGTTCATTCCCAGCCTCCCCTTTCCTCTGGCCCTGTGGGACAGTGGAATCGCAGCTGCCTTTGCCTGCCCTGCTCCCGGTGCCTGGGGCTCTGTGAGGAATGGCCGCGCCCGCTGGCCCTGCCCTGAGGGCGCCTGCAGCAGCTCAGGAGGGGCCGGGGCCTCCCAAGGCTGCTCTTCCACTGCCTCCAAAGCTGGGCTTGGGCACCTGCAGGGTTAGCAAACCACTTGAAATGGGTGTTAGAAAGCTTTGCAGTGTTAGATGAACTCAAAGGAATAAACCTGCATTTTCTGAAAACACCTTATCTGTCCTTTTCCTCTCTTGCCAAAGCTGCTGGATGTTGGACTGGAGGAGTATCCATATTCCCCAGGAAAGGCTGAAGATGGCACACAGGAAGCAGTACAGATCACCCTGAGGCTCCCTGATAATGTGATTTATTTTGAAGTGCCTGTGCTAGCCCGATGGGATCCTGCAGGTCTGAACTTCAGACATAAATTTATTTCAAATTTGAGTAGTGGAATTTATACCTGAGTTGGACTGCTGTTACAATCCAGCTGTAAAGATAAGGGCCAGTTTGGAGCCCAGAAA